GTTACGGGTGTTGTTTCGCCCCACTGGCCGGCCAACTATCCCAGGGACAATTGGACCCCGGGCAAAGAACTTATGGAGGTCACGGCTGGAGGCTTGATCCAACTCTCTAGTTCCAAAGGCCCGCCGTACCTTTTTACAGCTCTTCGAGAATGTGACTATGAACCTTGGTGAAGCATGACGACCCCGAAGCCGCTGGACGCTTCATTCAGCAAGCGGCCGGATTTAGATTCAGTACGTCCAGCTGCTTCCACATGGCTAATGTACGCTTTTCGAAGCACGGGCTGCTTTCTGGCGTTTTCACGACCAGTCGCAGGAACGCAACTGACAGAACTCACCCTACCAGACAAAGCAACGGTCAACCTTTTGTGCTCACAACAAGAAGTGCAAGGGAGCACCCTCGTTGACAACAAGCATACTTACTGTGCAAAGTTGAACATGTTTTTCTAGACCGGACCAAAGATCAACCAAGGAATGTTGACCATGTTGACCCACAACCAACAAAGCCCGTGATTCCGCAGAATTCCATGACGACGGCTCGGCAACCAGCCAGAAAACGGGCAACATGGGGGGTTTGCACAAGGACAGAAGCCAAGGAAAAAGAAGGAGCAAGCGGGATCTTGTGTGTGTGTGAAACCTTTGGGTGTTAAACACTTACGTAAGTATGGCTATGTGTGAAGCACGGCTAGCTCCCTTAATAATCTACCTGGAGTCTCCGTGACCTCTAAACATGCACTGATTAATATAGGGGGCGTGGCAGCCCATCTTGATTCCGGGTCAGAAAGAGACTCCAAGTACTACTTTAGCATTTGCACAGTCACCGCGCAGGCGGGCTGACAACCATCAGAACGACTGGAAGCAAATTATGAGCGTAGTACTTTGCCACCCATTGACTTAATGCTAACCTCGGATTTTAACGCGGAGCACCCTAGTCAGAGGCACCCGCAAAGAAACAAATCATTTCCTTACAAAAGGGGAACCCTCTTTTCGTACAGTCCGGTGAAAACCCGAGGTTGACATTGCGTGGAAGCCGAATGGTGGTCCCCTTAAGCAAATGGAGTGAAGGATACTTGGGTGTGTCTTTTTATAGGAAACCCCAAAATGGTGGTTTTCCTTTCGGTTCCCATTTCAAAGCCACTCCAACAACGGGTGCCCTCCAATAAAACTTGAGCCACGTGCTGACCTGAGGCTTTCGGAACGCGGCGACCCTTCTTCCCCTTCTCTTCAATCGAGGCACAGCCCTGACAGGCTTGCAGATCGAAGACCATGTATCGCAAGATCCTTGGCACGTGGCCGAGCCGAGGAAGACCACGCCGGAAATCATCCAACATCATCCAACTAATGCCTTTGCTTCTGGCGAATGATGTGGAAATTGGGAAAGTCCATAAATTCCGAATTATGACACAAGTTGCCACACGAAAAAGAAGAACTCCTGAAGGGACCTTTATGAGTCAGCTTGCGAGTTTACGACTTGTGAAGGTGTCAGACCCTTTTCGCCAGAGGAGAACATATCGCGCTGCGGCCGCTGCCTCCCACAATTGGAAGCTAGAGCAGAAGCTTTGAAGTAAGCTGAGGGAAATAGAGGGTGCTATACAAGAAACATGATCAGGCTGAGGGCAGTCAAGAACAATGATTTTGCACCAGGTTCAAGACCAACCAACAAGCCACTAGGCAAGATACGTGAGCACGTTGAAGCACTGGCAGGATAAAGAGGCATTGCCACATGAAGCCGAAATCACGCCGATGCCTTGGTGTGATGACCGGGTCATCACTCCCACGACGCGGAGGGAAGCGTGATTACCCCAAGCACACGGGATTGTCTTGTGTAGGGGACCCCCACAAATGATTGGCTTCCTTTGGTTTCCCCTTTAAAACAAACCAAACGTGGGCATACCCTCAAAAAATACTGAGCCACAAATTGCCAGAAATCCTTCCGTCGGAAGTCAGGGATCATTGTAGCTATCAGCTCGCTATGATTGCTGCAACGGATCAATGTTTTCGGTTGGACATTGAAATGGCGACTCTTTCAAGGACCCAAAAGCCTCTTGTGGTAAATACCGGAGCTAAGGGGGGTCCGTACAAAACGTCTGGCTTCTTCTTGTGTACTTCAAACTTGATTTTGTGCTTAACAAGGACCTTCTTGGTCTGTCCTTGTGTGGTCGACTGGGCATCGGGCGCCTCCAAATGCCCTTGAGCTGACCTGGAACAAGGAATCCCCGCAACTTCATGATCCTTACCGGTCGCGAGCCACCCTAACAAAACACAAGCCATGAATGAAGGCCCACTCCCGAGCTTGGACCCCGGACTTGTTGCACTCCACGTAGTGCCGCACCTTTCGGAAAACGGCGGTCAGGGTTCCAATCAAGGGAATACAGCCCAGCAATTCCTTTTTCCCTGTATAGCTACCCAGTGGAACAATTGGCAGCATGTGAATATCAAACAGCTCAGTGATGTGTTCCATATCATTCCATATACCTCCCATTTCATTCCATGTACCTTCATAAGGAACGAACCAGTCCAATAATTTCCCACGCTGGCTGGCAATATCCCACATCCACTCCTTATGCGCGAAACAGCCATTAAGGGTATGTGTCAAAACACGGGACGTCCTGAAATGGCGCTTCTTCTTTTCGCCCTCTCTTTACAACCAACCAAAAATGCTGGATTCCCTACAAAATGGGGAGGCTCCCACTAATTTTTACATGGATGGTCCAGTTTCCTTTTGGCTTTCCTGGACACCGACGAGCCCCAAAAAAAGGACCAGCCCCCGGCCGTCCATTCGGCCGAGTCGCATAGTTGGAGAGCTTGATCATAGGCCCCTCAGCCTCGTTGCATCTCCCAAAACCGAAGCCAAAGCTTCACCGGAGGCCCAACAAAAACAGATTGCCGCGCAACAAGGCTGCACCGCTTGACCCACCTTTGCAAAAGAAGTTGCTGCCCCTCCTTCAGAGGGTTCCTACACATTTTAAGGGGGGTTTCAACCAGAAGGCATCAACGCCGCTGAATGCCCAGTGCAGTAAGCCCCATGTTTTGCTGTGCTCAAAGTCACCCAAATGGCAGGTCGGAAGGGAAACAAGACACGGATCTCTGACTTCACAGCGTTTCCAGTTCCACTCGTAGGAAACCACAGTGGCTCCAGGAACATATAAGTTCATGACCCGTAAAGCCGACACCGACTCCAGAAACCCAAGGCGCGACATTTTTGAGTGACAAGGAAACGTGGGGACTATGGGCCTGGCGTTCAATGTCCGCAGCTGCCCGCCGAAGATCACATGCTTGATTCTGACAACCAAATCAAAATGAACCTTGACTGATCTTAACACACACGATCATGCAAGAGATCAGATCCGACAGAAATAAAGAACAAGTGCATGTTTAAAAGGGGAGGTTCTGAAAGGGGCGCGTGTGGTGGCCTTTAAAAGTACACCCCCCCACCCCCCTCGTGGAACCTTACCTCAGGGCACCCCGGAGCCTATCTGGGCTGAGACCCCAAAGCTTTCAGCTGTTGGGGAGAAACAAATGCTCCTCAGAAGCTCCTCAGAAGCTCCTCAGAAATCCGAAAGCCGCCCACCCCATCCAGTGACCCCCGGGCTCCAGGCAAGAAAGCCCTCGAGCCCGAGGCACTCAATGAGGTCGCCGTGGTTTTGCAGCAAGGATCGCCTGAGAGTAGCAAGGTCACCCTTGAAATGAGGCGGACCAAATTCATCAGTTGTAACCTACGCACTTCACGCATTGGGAACCCAAGAAGGCTGGAAGTGTGAGCTCCCGCTGTACATGAGCAACGTGCAACACTACACAACAAGCACAGTCGGTTTTCCTTTAAACAAAGAAACATAAACGCAGTTTGGTGGTTGTCCTGTCTTGTGTTCGGCTATGTTTGCTTTTGGTTCTGGCGGTGTGCGCTTTCTTGCTTCAGGTTCAGCAGCTGATTGTCTCTCCCCGGAGATCTTTGCTTTTACGTGCCCCTCCGCGGGCATGTACCAAAAGAAGGGGGACGCAAGAAGTATTTGATGCTCTTTTTCGTGACCAGGGTAGCCTGAAGTTCCAAACAGGACCACGCCAACAGGAAACCTGGGTTAGAAACAGAACCGTGACGTGTTACAACAACAGGCTCCGATGGGACTCGAGCCCATAACCTCCCTGTTGCCAAAATGGCATGTGGGAGCGCTGCCATTGCGCCACGGGCCCCTTATACAACTAACCTTCTTCAAGTCAGTGTGATTTGCATTTGCTCATTTCGAAACTTGTGACACCTCAACATCATTTCAAATTTCACGTTGAAAATGTAGCCTAAGGCTCATGACCCTTCCAGTGCACACGTCTGGGCCCTCCAATGGAGAACCCAGAGCCCAACCCTTCCAAAGCTGCGGACCTCCCTTGGTCAAGGTTTTGGCTCATTTCATGGATCTTTGCAATGTAGACTGCATCTTACCACCTCGTTGTTAAATCGAACTTTCGCAGAAGGGATAGCAGCGCCGGATAGTTGCCCGGGTGCCAGCTGTTCAAGCTTCGAAAAGTTATTGTTACGCTTTAAGGCAGCCCCACCACCAGTACAAGCATGTCAAGTGTCATGCGCTTTGGCAGCCCCCCAGCTTGAAAACCCGCAATTCCGTAGTGCAAGTCTGGTACGTGAAGTACACTCCCGCAGCTGGCAGGCTGCAGAGTTGCCCGCTTCCATTCTGCGGGCGAGCATTGCCGGACAGCAAAACAACCGTTCGAGCTCCGAGAAGTTTTTTCTCCAACCATCACCTGCGACCATGTAAAACAAACTTAATTTCTCAACCTGCACCGCGTCGTTCTGAATTTAGTGAAGTCAGCTTGTTATATTGAAATACTCACCCCGCTCCTCGGTCGCTCTAAATTGCGCAGATGGATGCCCTCAATCTTCCACTTGCTTATGTCCCCTGGAAAGAAAAACATATTTTCAGTAGTGATAGTCTCCCTTTAAAACCAACAGGGGAAAATAGAGTAAAAAACAAACACACTTAAGCAAATGGAAGCAATCAAGGGCCTGCGAAGGACACTTCGCTCGCCCAGGTCTCCCGCTCTTTCTGGCTGCGCTGAAGGTTGGTGCGCACGGAGCGCCGCGACACGTGGTACCTGCGGCCCATTCGAACGGGTCTCCTGGAGGTGGTCTTTGCACTTCTAGTTTAAAGACAGTTTGCCCGTCTAACTTAATTCCGCTTCAGGTCTTACGCCTCCATTTGCTGTGGGGCAACGTGTGACAGCTTCCTTGCCGCTTTTGCAAGTTTGCAGTTTTCTCAGCCTGAGAAAACTGTTCAAATGCAGAAACCGGAAATGCACGGAAATCGGCGGGAAATGTACGGAAATCAGCGGGCAAAGCACGGAAATCTGCGCAAAAAGTACCGAAACCTGCGGAGAAAGTACGGAACTCTGCGGAACATTTGCTTGGGGAGATGCGCATTTTGTCCTTGGCGAATTGCACACATTCAATGGGATTTTCGGCCCATGAGCATGACAAGCTCCAGTGCTTGGACCGGAGCAGAACATGAGATTCCAAAAAACTGCTTGAATGCTCCCGTGTCTTTTATTGTAGCCCCGCAAGAAAAAAAACAGTTTCTGCTCACATGTATGGATTTCACGGAAATGCAAGGACTTCTGCGGACATTCGCAACGCATCGTGGCTCTCGGTCCAGATAAACCATGGGCCGTGTTGACCAAGGATCTTACCCCAGGGTGTGACAAAAAACCTCTGCCAAAGCCTGATCATAAACTAGCAACAGCAGACACCTGGGTGCGTCTGGTTTTAGGGCCCCCCCCCTCCCCCCCCAAAAAAGATGACTCCGATTGACTCCGGAAAAGTGTTGCATCTGCACACACTTCAATTCAACCATATAAATCCTGAGGGGGCCTGTTCATTGCTCTCTGATTGGGGGTTCTTTATAGGTATGTTCAAGCTTTGTTTCCCCGAGGTCCAAAGATAGGGCCTAAATTTGTGGCCTAACTTGGCTTGGATCGGTGATTCAGGTACCATTCAAAGGGGGTTCATAGAACCACCATTGTTTAGCTAAAGATTGTCACCATCCAAGTTGTGTCGGGTTGAACCCTAGGGGTTCTCTTCAAGCCCTCCCTTCGCCTTAGAAAGCTGTGGGGTCGATAGGTTTGCTACAGAGCCAGGTCTGGGGGGACATTGAGGCTTCGACTCCTCCCTGGTCCATCTGATTCTTGAGGTGCAACAAATCGAAATTTCGCACCTCACAAAATTAGACCGCGCCAGCCCCGAGCACGACCATCCCAACCGCACCTCATAAGATTAGCCCGCTTGGGGTCGGCAGCAGTCAGGCGTCAGCCTGGTAAATATTGACGTTTCAACAACAATGTCACACCTGAATAAACCGGCCTGGACAATAAGAAGACACATTGGTTAACACAAGATGCACTGGAGCACTTCAACACGTGCAGCCGCATCAGCTGAGCCTGAAGGCACCGTAAGGCACCCGACGCATCGCACGCGAGCCCAACGTTCCTTACATAGGACAGCCATCTACGCTAAGGGTACTGACGCTTATGGTGGATTCAGGGCTTTCTAGACTACATTCCGACGCGGGGTCTCACAAGAGCCTTCTTTTGGTGGGGGTGCACATTTCATTGGGAGGTCTCTGGCGCTGACTACCCTTGTTCATGCTGGTCGCTTGGTCCCGTGTTTACCAATCCAAATTGTATTGCAATCGAGTATATACCTGTCCCTCCCCATCTAGCAACCTTCAGAGCAAAACCCATGTTTGTTTCCATTTCAAGCCACCACAAAGAGGGCTACCTGAAAATCTACAAACCCACATGCACAGCGACCAAGACCCACTAACTTTGTGGTTACACCAAAATAACTACAAAGGCTTGTATAGGCCACATTAAAAAACACCACAACACAAAGCCAGTAGAATCACCTACCAACATGGCCTTCTGGGAATTGCTGTTGGGACCCCGTGCACATGGCTAGACCCAAAAGCCAGGGGATCCCAATGGGCGCTTCTTTTGGTTTCCCTTCTCCACCAATCAAAAAGGAGCGTGAAGCCAACAAACCAAACAACAAGCACAAGAGGCTTTCCAGCATCCAAAAAAAAGGTGCGTGAAACCCCGTCGTATTTGACTGCCCCACCCCACGCTCTACCAGTGATTCGTTGGGAAATTGGCTACTGACCCCGACGGCAACCCACTGAGAGGTCCCGTATGGCTTTGGCGGGATCTTGGTTTCCTATGCGATCACTGGGCGCCTTGGCCCGGGCCCTCAATGGGCAGCCATGGATACCAAAGAACTGGCTGTTGCTACCCATGGTAATCTGCAGCTGCCCCGACTGGCAAACTGGATATTCTTTGAAAACCATAGCACCAAGCGAACCAATGCTGAGACCCTGCCAAAAGTTCACTTTTTGCTGGTTGAAAAGGAACATGCCGGAAAGCCAAAAAGGCAAAACGCCAAAACGGCAAGCTAAGTCTGGCACTTAAAATGCAAACTGTTTGCAGAAGAGCCATGAATTCGGAGAGAGGCCCATGGCCCAACTTTCTTGACACCCGTGATCAGCACCCCGAACGGAGAGGGGATCTGTACAGCCCAAAGAATCAAAGGGCCCTGGAACGTGGGGTTCCATGGCCTTTGATTTGCTGGTTGCAACCCCCGTTTTTTGGGGTTGCTTAGAAGCCCAAGACCCCCAAACATGAGGGCTCCTCTGAGCCCGGACCTGACATCAGGTTTTGGGCTCCAACTGCCCGCCTGCGCTGTGAGGAGCGCTACGGCAATGCCCACCTTACCGCCGGCCCCGGCTCCGCGGATGTGGCCACGCGGAGTGGATCCTTTTCACACGGATGGTCTGTTGATGTCTGTTGGTTTGCGCAAGATGTTTGAAGACGCCAGTCAACAACATGAACAACTGCCTCCAACAGACGACACACAAATATGTATATACATATCTAAATACCTACGTATTCATTCATACAAGATAATATAAGTCGCTCAATATCAACACCATCAACTTCCACGGACCCACAACTGCCTTGATGAATCCCTTGCACCTAGGCAAACCACGGAATCAATATTTGGGCTTGGCATTCTAACTCATCGAAGGGACAACAGATAGCTTAACCCGATGCTTGGAAAAACGAAATACTGCCACTCCTTGGCTTCCTTTTTCCCAACCAAGGACATCCCATGTTTCTTGCTTGACCCCAACCCCGCCCCAATTTGCCATGTGTCCTTTGTCAGTGGGAATCCCCTTGCCTGCTCCCGGCGGCCTATGGGGATCCTTCGGCATGGGTCTCAAAATGAGGGAACCCTCGGCAAATGGCGGTTCTTTGGGTTCCCTTTGAGACCAAGCAATTGGGTTTCCCCAAAGCGCATACCGCTGTTTTGCGGGGAAAATGAATTCTCTCGGCCAATGAGCTCTCTACATGGGACCTGCATAGCCTGGGATGGCGAGGGTTCAACTTGGCCCATCTCAGGAAGTGGTGTCCTTATTCTTGACGTGTTTTTGGGGAGGGGGTCCCTATAAAATCAAGAACCAAAAAGAGTGGCAATTCCTTCTTCCCGCTGGGTCTGGGAGATGGATTTGTCCAGAAAAACCGCGTTTTCTGGCGGGAACAAACAACGCTTGCTTTAGTGCCTCTTTCTTGTTTTCTGAAAAGGTCCCCAGTTCGGGTTCTGCTTTCTCCTGATACATTGCTTTCATAGATTTGAAAAATAAGTAAAACAGCACATGCGAGTGAAACAGAAATGCTGACAGAGATAGACGCACTTCTTGGTTTACCACTAAAGTGAGGTCTTCCCAAGTCAAAAAGTGAAGCCACGAAGCCGAAGGCTCAGGGCCCCGGCGCAGACGCTGGGCAGCAGGCCATACATGGCGGAGCTGGCCACCTGCGAAAAGCGAGAAACACAAAAAAACACGTTCTTCGCGTTTCGAGCCGGGAAGATGCTCTGTGCGGCTTTTGGGTTTTGCTGTGGACCCGAATGTTCAGATTGTTTGGCCAACTGAAAGATGGGTTCCAAAGCAACCCACAAATTTGGGAGTTGAGGTGACATCCCAGTTTGATAGGGTTGGTAGTTTAAGGGTTCAGGGACATGCGAGCGGTTCCAGGGCTGTGTTGGTGGAAATGTGAATCCTAGTGGATTCTAAGTAATTTTTGTATCTGTTTTTTCTTCTGGTTTTTCAAAGCTGGCCAAAAACCTTATGAAATCCCGGGAACCATTTTGCAACGGCAAAAAGGCGAGCTTGATTCAAGAATGGAGATAAGAAGGGAAAAGGACACGCCATTAGATTCTTTCTAACCTTGGTAGCAACAAACTGTGCCTTTTGCAGCGCCCTGCTAACACAAATGAACGGAACCAAACACATTCCTCTCCCGATGGCGCCAGGCCGGCCATGGCCAGCCTCCGATTGCCCACCGAATTCATGGAAAAGAAATGAGTGGCTGTGGGTCAAAACCAATGGGATCCCATTTTGGGGTAGGTGCACCAGCCTTTTTAGTCTATAGTGGGGATTGGGATGTTCACCAGGGTACAGGGTTTTGACCCACAGTCAAGTGTCAAGGGAAGAAAGTGACTAAGGAAGGGTTGGGAAACTATTCCCTTCGGTCCCGATAGATGAAACCTTCAAAATACATTCAGCCTCTTGGGGTGTGGGTGGAACCCTGGACCATGGCGCACTTATGGCACACTTCCCAGACTGAAGCGTGAAGCGCCGAGCTACGGAAACCTATGGTCGCCGAATGTCCCAAGATGTCCCAAGTGTCGAACTTAACTATCCAATGCAGAATGTCTGGCTTCGCCCAGCTTCGGACGCCCCTTGGTTGTCATGCGACAATGACCCGCCAACAAAAAGCAAAGCCGCTGGACAACTGGGAAGCAAATGTGGCAGCCAGCTTTGGTCCAAGAGCGGATCCAGAGCCGACACTCACAGCAAGCTGAGCTGTTCCCGGATTTCTCGGCAATAGCCACCATACTCCCGCACGCCCCAGGTAACCAGTGTGCCATTCTGCAGGATGACTGCAAATAGAGTCAGTTGCGTGGATCTGTCTGACGTTCCTCAGCTGATCTTGAACCTGGCTGCTGTCGCCGCCACAACTAGGATCACCCCACCTGACAACATCTCCAGATTCAAGAATCGCAGAGAAAGCACGGGCATTGCCCTTGATATGCTGGACCTTTCTCAGCTGCTCCCGAACCTGGCTGCTGTCGGCCGCAATCTGGATTCCCCCATGTTACAACAGCTCCCGATTCCAGAATTGCAGCAAAAGCACCGCACGTTGCGTGGATCCGCTGGACATTCCTCAGCTGCTCTTGCACGTGGCTACTGTCTCCGCCATAATTTGGGTGACCCCATGTTACAACAGCTCCAGATTCACAAATGGCAGCAAAAGCTCCATAATTAGTTGCTTGTATGTGCAGGACATTTCTCAGCTGCTCCTGTACCTGGCTGCTGTCTCCACCGTAATTGGGATCACCCCACGTAGCAACAGCACCAGACTCCAGAATTGCAGCAATAGCAGAGACGGTCGTCCGCATCTCCTGGACATTCTTCAACTGCTCGAGTGCTTGCCTGTTCATCTGCGAGGTACCCCAGGTCACCACAGCACCAGACTCCAGAATAGCGACAAAAGCAGAACCAGTTCCTATGATCTGCTTCACATTCATCAGCTGTTGTTGCACATCGCTGCTGTCTCCACCGAACCATGGATGACCCCAGGTCACAACAGCTCCAGATTCCAAAATCGCAGCAAAAGCAGCCGAAGTGGCTTTAATCTGCTGGACGTTTCTCAGGCGATCTTGTACCTGACTGCTGTCTCCGCCATTCTCTGGATAACCCCATGTCACCACATCCCCTGAATCAAGAATTGCAGCAAAAGCAGCTGCACTTGCCTCAATCTGGTGGACATTCCTCAGCTGGCTTTGGACACGGCGGCTGCATCCGCCGTGGTCTCGATAACCCCATGTCAAGACTTCACCTCCTTGGACATACAAAGCAAAGGCCTTCTTGGTTGCAGCCAACTTGACCGGCTGCACCACCGCATCCACCACGTCCCCATCTCGCAAGCCGGCCCTGCTCAGCGTGGCCGACAAATCCAGCGGCCGGCCCTTCGCGGTGAGCTTCAGGAAGCGGCGCTGAAACTGCTGCTGCGCTGCAGTTTTCAGCTCCCTGACCGGCGTCTCCGGTGACATCGAAATGGGGCAACCGTCCCCGCTGGGTAGGTGGACATCTCACCATCCATCCATTTCTTTACGAATCTTCACCTGTCGCTTGACGGTCCAAATCTTCGTGGATTTGGCATCGAGAAGCCAGCGGGCCAGCACCAATCCAAGTTGCCCAGATGGGCGGTTCGAACCTCGGAAAGCCCCGGACCTGGTCTTGCGCTTCCCGTGAAGGGAAAGACCAAAATTTCAGCACCCATCTTCCCCACAGAAGGAAACAAATGATCATGAGTATGCTTGGCTTGGTCACTGGCCCATTCCACCTGTATAAGACACTTCTGATTTCAGGCAAGCCCATGCCTCTTTGTTTTGCGGTCAAAGCAAATGACCAAAAGCAATGGTGACCTGGAGGGCCAGGGGCTGGGAGATGTTCCAATCATTCCGAGCTTCAGCCAACACAAATCCCTCTTGCTGAAATCGGGAACATGAAACTGGATCCAAGAGGCTCAGCTTCTACCCAGTGCTTAAATTGATCTCAACCCAAAAGTAATCTTGAGAATCCCTCAACATGTCTTCTCTATGGGGTGTGTGCTTATTGAAATGACATCTTGCTGCAGAGCCCTCTTGCTGAAAAAAAACCAAACAAAAACAAACGGAAGCTGAGAACAGGACCATGCCCGGCCAAAACCCTCCCCAAACTGCAAAAAACCCTTTTGCTTGAGATCATGTCTGCCAAATCATGCCAAATCCCTTCAATCAAACTGGAGCATGTTTACGATGTTTACCAATCACCCGGACTTGAGAACCAAGAACTCCCCAAGGTTCAACGTGCACTTTCCCATGTGCTGGGGCCATACTCCCTGGGCTTCTTTTCAAGGAACCCCTCCCAACACCCAAAAGGGATGAAGCTCCTTGGACAAGTCGAACGGCTCTCTTTCCGGAGAGCCTGGGCGTAGATGACGAGCAAGCCCAATCGCCCGACCTGGCAGGGGTCACTGGATCTCCTTGTAAAGAGTTGCACTGCACCGGTTGTTTGGCGATTACAAAAGCGTCATTTTGACAGGCCGGCGGAACTTCTGAATCTTTGGACGTACCTAAAGGGGCTGCCTGAGTAGAAAGTTAGTCAACAAGCACCAACTAAAGCAAAGGAACGCGCTGTATTTTCAAGGGGCAGCCCTTCCTTGACCCGGTGGCAACTGGTGGCCCGTCCACCAAATGAGCAACTTCATAAGCACGCCAGAATCCCTGCGTCGTGGAAGGTTGCATACGCGGGCGCTAGCGCTTTGCGTGCGCGACCTACATTTTAAGCCTACGAAGCCGACAGCGAGGATGTCAAGCTTACGAGTGAATTGCTTAGTAACTTAGCTTACGCGGGCCCCGTTTCTTTGCAGTCGCCACTGCTCAAGATAAGGTGGATGACTCTGAGGAAGTTGTCGATGAAGAATTGCTGACCGGCGAATCACTTGGTGCTGGTTGTTCTTTTCGGCTCTTCGCCTTGTAGCATTTTGCATTTGACTGACGACTTTGATTCCAGAGTTCGTTTTGGCTCCACTGGAAATCAAGGAATGGCTTTTGTGGCATCATGGCGCAGGCGAGCAGGCAGCTGTGCCAGGCAAACCTTACACGCCTGCGTCAACCTGCTTACGCGCCTCAACCCGAATAGTTTTGCTGAGTCTGCTGTACGGTAACCCTTTGCCCATGGAGATCCAACGTCCAAGCTGCTGGCATTCAACGAGTTTTGCAAGCAGCCACGAAGCAAAGCTCACTCGGGCGCTCATGCAGCCGGCTTATTTTATGTAGGGATTTGCCTACGCGGGCCTTCCCGTCTGAGAAAGGAGAAAGAAGCAAGGCAACACCCAAGAAAAAGGGTTTGTGTAATAGTGAGCAAGTGAGCAAACAAGAAGAGAACAAAGAAGAAGAGAAGAACGCTCACAAAAAAAAACGCAAGGTGCAAAAAGTGCAGAGTGCAACGTTTGCACGTGTCCCATTCCAAAATGTGCAAAAGTATAAGTGTTCCAAATGTGTGCAAGCTGGAGGCTGCACTGGTTGTAAATTAATTTAGAAGCTGTGGTCCACACTTTGCAAGCATTTTCCACATGCATGGAAAGGAGGTTTGAGAGCTGCTGAAGTGGAACGTGTGCAGTGAGTGAAAAGGGACAATGCTTGACTCCACTGAGCAACTGGGGGCACAACCTCAAAAGAACCCCTAAGTAAGAGCTTCCCTTTGGCTGCCCTTGAATGAGCAACTGGGTTAGGGCCTTGCGTTGGATCTCTTGTGCATGAGGTCGACTCCCTTGTTCCCCGACAGCTGGTGTGGATGGCACCAGTTGGCGAGTGGCTTATCAACAACTTGTTCATGGGGGTTTGCCCAGTCCAAATGTTTATGTCCTATGCTTATGAAACAAATGTGATAGGTTGTCAAAACCAACAGGGGATAATACAACGTATCCTGAAGCAAATGGAAGTGTTTGTGCTACCCAAACACCAATTCCTATCAACCTGCTAAAACGTACAGGGGCCCTGCCAAAACAAGTACTCTGGTAATACAAAGGCCCCCGAAGAAAAGCAGAGACCAAGCGTCAAACAAAAGGCGGTGTTTTGACTGTGTCTTAGGCATAAAGTCAGCAACTGGGGTTGTTTCCCTTTAATCCACCACTTCGGGGTGACTCTGATGGCAAAATGGTGGGGTCAGTTCAATAATGCAGGGGTAACTTTAGAGAAGTCTGGGCACAAGAAGCAAATTGCTGGCGCAGGGTTTGCTGGCCAAGGCAACCCCCCCCCAAGCTCGCATGCGACCTGCCTTCACCCTGGCAGTCCACATCCACTCCTGAAGAAAAGCACGGTACTGCTAAGTAGCCTGCCTCTGTCAAGTAGGGACCAGGTATGTTCCTTTATTCATGTCTCTGTTTGTTTGTACCTGCATAGTGATGTTTTCTCCTGGTTACTTGCTACTTAAATACCTGCCCGACCCTTTATGTAATTCATCGAGCGCATCTCGTAAGTGGTTGGTTACCAACTACTTTCCCACGAGTCGCTCGCTTCCAAGCAACGGACACGGGAAGCTTGACCCAAGGAACCCTGACTGCTATGCACACGTAAGACCAAGGAAACCGAGCAAGGAGCCTGCATCATTGGCTCATGCTCCCGCAAGCTATGCTTCTGATGGCATGCAATTCCTACAGGTCCTACAGCAACAGCAACAATCTAGCAAAATAGCACTTTGTAATGTCCGGAAGCACCATGCACCCGCCCAAATCTACTGCATA